ACTCCTGTAAGATTTTGGTATGTTTTGAGACGATATGATCAGCGGAAAATGATTACATTTTTAGTAGTAACTTGAAACAACTAAATATAATTTCAACTAGGCATTGTGTATGTATAGTCGATATAAACAAAATTCTATATCTTAAAGTAACAGAAAAACCAAAACCAGAGAGTGCATAATTAACCAGCAGCCAATTGCATAATATACCACGGGAAGCTTATTACCGGATATGCTGTAAAACAAAAAACATAATTGTCCTGATTGCGTATATTATTCATTGTCTTGCAAATTAGAGTAACCAATATTATGTCACTTGATATATCAATAGCCCTTGGACATGGGACATTTGTCTGAGACATTAATTTACCACAAATGTCGTGTTATTAAATATTAACATTGCATAAAACTCACTAAGCTAAGGAAGCAAAACATGGGTTGACTGTCACTATGTTACACTAAAGCCGGTTTGGTTAAAACACTATTTAAGATTGTAAATGTTAGTAATACGTTCACAACTTCACGTTTATGAATAAAAGAAGGAAACGGTTATATTAGCTATATGTAAATGAAAAGTTGTCCGCCACAATATATATTGGTATGTAAAACAAAAATTATTATTCCTGATTTGGAAATAAAGTAAGAAAAGGCCAATGATCCTTCAATCTAAAATTGGTTCTGATGAGATGATGTCGCTGTTGACATGTTAAAATATCGCAAAGCTTTTTATGCAATACAATAAACAAACAGGAAATAGATTTCCATTATTTTGCCATTAAATGCTTCACAGAAGTAAAAGTCGTTTTCCACAGTAGGTCAAATTGTTCTGTATTATCCATAATTGACTGATATTTCAATTAAAGGCATCGTCTGGCACATTTGTTTTTTGATATCTGATATTCTTTGAAATTGTGAATAAGAAAGCTCGTTCTATATTTTGCAACAATCATATAACATACAGTAAAATATGAAAAACAAGATCAACAAGGAAGGGCGGCGTTTAATGAACGAAACACCCACACGACGCATAAAATTAAATATTGTGTTAGATGTTAGGCTTATATAAGTAGAAAATCAGTAATAAAGTTTACATTTTATACAAATAATTCTAAGTTAAAAACATGCTTCTATATTTCAAAAACCTTTCCAAACCCAAGTCCTCTAATTCAAAACAGACAACAGTAAATATATACCACAATATTCTATATTACATGTTAACAGAAATTGAGCTTTACTGGGATGTTGTTTACAAACTTCGTAAGATCTTGGGTCATTGTAATTTTTCTGTTGTCTTTACTAAATTATTAAACGTTTTATTAAAAGGGGTTATGACCCTCCTGTTTTTGTTTGGGGTCCTCCTCCTTGCCACTGGCTCTTGTTTCTGGGTCGGGTGGGGGCTGCGTTCATTGAACGCCGCCTTTCCTTGATGATCTTGTTTATCATATTTTAATTATTTGACAATCTAAATAATCAGATAATTTAGACATGGTCTTGTAAAATGCAATGTAGACACTTATTTGTATGCACTAGAATTTGTTTTGGATTTTTACTTTGTTTTAATATATGACTGAGTTTTTGTCCATTGTCGTAATGACGGTAATAAGAAGTATTCTTATTAAACAAGAAAGCAACATTCATTCATATTTTTGTTGATAGGCAATAAGGCGGAAAGAGATAGTACAAATTATATTTCATTCTCTTCAATATATTTTTCAATTTTAGAATGTAGTACGAATCTGTCTTGTTCAGCAGATATCGGAGAATATGAAGAGAAGGGGATGATTTAATTTGCAAAACTCTTAAATCGTCCCTGCAGCCTCCGATCGATTGGCTCTTCAAGTGGAGAGAAGCGTTCTGAGATATGTAGGTTATTATCTTGCCTGTCGTCGCTTATACTAATAATTCATCATAACATTGTAATTGTACAACATGAAGTTTCTTCTAAATATAATTTTATTATTTTACTACCCAGTTTTGCTGCCAAGTTTTATGGATGCAAAGACGGACATACCAAAGTATACTATCTATTCACCAAGAGAATAACATTTTTTATAATTTACATAACAGTAAGTAATGTGAGACTGTCTCATATATTGGTTCATTTGCAAGAAAACAAAACAATTAGTTAGCGAAAGTCACAATTTACATAACATCTAACCAATAGACTGAGTGGTAAAATGCCTTTAAGAAAGTACATGTATTTAAAGATAAATAAATATAAAATTCTTCTTTATGTGATTGTCTATAAATATCAGATCCCACAAAGGAGTGGAATAGTGAGAACCGAGGTACATGTATGAATCATAGTTGCTCTTCAATATCCTAAGAAAGAGAAGCTATCGATATGGAACACAATGACTTCAACCCGTCCGTTTGGTAATGCTAGATGACCAAAATCTGATGTTACATGTATCATGTGACAACCAAGATTTCTATCATGTGGCATCACATTAGGCTATACAGTTAATAAACATCGTAAGTTATTATGATACGATATGTAAGTAATAGAGAAACAAAACAGAAAATGTATTAGACTCTGTTTAATCGAGCCAGTTCATAAGAGTAAGAGTCTACATCAGCCCACGCTGTAGTAAATACTAATTTTTTAGTTGTTTTGTACTTTCACACTCAGAGGAATCTGTATTTGTATATGACATATATAATTTGTAAGTGAAGTCGCAAATATAAATTATATAAAAAAGAAAAAAAACATGCATCTATTTATACACTTCGTAAATATGTACATATACAATTTTAATAATTTAAAAGTTTAAAGAAAAAATGATCGTTTTGCATTTTTATAATTTAACGTAACGGTTACTGGTTTACTTTTATTATGCCCAATGGTGCTGTTCAAATACTGTGAAAATGGCAAGAAAAAAATTGCCATGATAAAACACTTAAAATGATGGGTTTTAAAGTGATACAAAATCGAATGATGATTCCCACATGTAGAATAAATTTTCTCTTTTAAAGATTAATGTATTCTACTAAATGTATTTGATAATACAACATGTCAATCAATATATCAGAGCAAATAAGTGCAGCATGTTAAGTGTAGTTTCAAATTGTATGTCAGATGAAATGTGTTATAAAGTTCAACAAACAACAATATAAGAAAAACAAATCCAAATTTTAAAAAAGTATCGAAGCATGAAAAGGCAATTCTCCTTAAAAGGTATATCTTTCATTACTAGATGAACTGTTCACGTCGTAACAATTACGTAAACATGTTTATTTTAATTCAAATTAAGATCTGGCTGAGTGTACATGTACATATTATCTAGTTGCCATTGAAATAAATGCTTAAAATTGATAAATAATTCTTTCCATATTTGGTTTTACATTAATGCACACGTGTACAAAAGTTTTATATCATTCTAAAACAGACGAAACAATATGAAACTTTTTATATATAGTATTATTGTTTTGAACTAACATGTAATTGTCGCGAATTTGCCGGTTTAGTTTAATTCATAACATGTAAGAATTCAAGTTGTGTTCATATTCATAATTATACCAGTGAAAAATAATATTGATGTTGTATTTTCATAAATAAGCAATCTGCAAATAGAATGTTTCATAACGTTAACAGTGTTTTAGTTTAAGATATGTTTTCAGAATATTCGGAAATATGGCAAAGCCGTGACACTCAGTTGCGTTTAATAAAGTTATCTGTAAACAAATCTATATTGATTAACCAGAAGATATATGAGCAATTATGGAGATACATGTATAAAGAAGTTTTGTGCAGGAACTTTGAAATCATGACAATTCCACAATTGTTAGTAAGTAGGTTTTACCAGGTTAATTCCTCAACTGAAACATATACACGTAATATTATACATAAAGAAAAATACCGTGACATACGATTACATATGGGTCTGTTGGCTAAAAAGGAGAACAATTACCTCACTCCCTGTCCATCCAACAGCATCCCATATATTCCAGTCATTAAGAAAAAGTGTACACTTTGAGTAAATTCCATATTTGAGTTAAATATCTTAAAACTACCACACAATCAAAAATAGTTGCTCTCCTGTTAATAACAAATCTGAAACCGTAAATTTATATTATTAGTTCATTTATTTGTTCATATTCTATACCAGGCAGACTTAATGATGATTTGACTCACATATCATTTATTATAAGATATTAAAATACTTTAGTTGACTATATTCTGTATAAGCTCACGGAAAGTATTTTGAAATTAATGTTTTCTTTATAAACTATAAAAATAAATCTAATATTTGTAGAAGTTTGTACAAATACTTGTTTTCAATTAACTTAAAACGTTATGAGAAGAGACATAAATATTGATTTTGACATAAGAATACGTTAACAGATTCTTTTAGTGACAAATAAATCTAAAGCTATTATTCGGTTTTTAATGAATCTTAGATACATTTTCTTTTGTCACGAAATATTACATATCGTTCTCCAAATGATTTATTTGTTTCTGACTATAGAGCTAAGGTAGAATTTCAACAGAAAAGCCTTCGAAATATATTCTTAGAAAATAACAATTCAATTAATTCAATTTTACACAATATTCTTTTCAATAATATGAAAAAAGATCTATGCAAGGAACAGATGAGCCGTTATTAAAATATAGATTTCTGAAATAAGAGATAGATAAAATAGTAGGGTTTGTTAAATAACTTAAAAAATCTTTAACTAAAATAATCTGAAAAAGAGCGATCCCTCTGAAGGATTAAAGTCAGAAGAATTACATGAAAATTACAGACTCGGTTTGATTGAGTCTGAACATAAGGGATAAAGTGCAACATCTCTCATGCCCCCCAGCACCGGCTTTAGCGGTACTCAATTTTCAACACTTGAAAATACCTCACAAGGGAGGGCGAAGGCGCAATGAAAAACAACAAGTTGTGGTTTGCAAAAGTCATAATCCTACTTGACAGTCTCCAATCGATCGTCTCGCAAGTCAGAAGCGTTCTAAGATACATAATTTGTTATGCTCTCTATCTTCGTTGAAAGTGTAAATCTATTGATTCCCGGCTTTATTAACGATTGTGATATATGAGCATCCTCTAATAAGTCTTTCCTTGACACCAAGTGGCATTCTAAGTTTTATTGGAGATCGTGAAGGAATGTAAAACAATAGTAAAGGAATCAAATTGATGTTTCGTTTATGGGAAAGTCACAATCAGAGATACGGACTAGAATAACTGTTGCTCCGAGACTGTGATAATATAGTATGCACAAGATAATTATGTGTTGCAGTTTTCAGAAGATGGCGTGTTAGAAAAATTTGGAATAATTTATACATCTCATACACAGCAAAAAACTGTTGGTACGTGTTTATTAAAAGAAATATTTATGTGTCTTTTTGGAAGTTTTTTTCCTAATTGTATAACTTTTTTTTTAATTTTGTTATGTTGTATTTTTTATTTAGAGTTATTGTTTTATTTGATTATTTTCCTTTCACGTTAAGAATGTTCATAAAAGTACATGTACATTGTACAATCAATTTTAAAGCATGTATACATGTATATATGATAACATGACATTTAAATTAACTCGGAAAATAAAGTTTTGCGATATGCATTTGATCAAAGTTAACAAAGTGAGAATTGCTCGTTAAGTGCTGCTTGATGTTTATTTGTTTTGACGAAATGGCAAAAACCAATTAGATACGGTTAAATTCGTCTGATAATTGATTTTAAATATTAACAAAGTTCATGATGATTCCCAAATGTAAAATAAACGTATCTCTCTGTTCGTAAAGTTTTATGATGATGCAGTTGATAACACAATGTTAAAAATCAATACACCTAGTTCATATTATTACTACAAATAAATACATTGTACTTTAAAATCAAACCCACCGTACAATATAATTGCAACTCTTTTCTTCTATAATGTGATAATATTAGATAAATGCTTTTACATACTTTCAAGGTCGTCGTATTGGCCATGACCCAATCAGAAACTATTATATATGATCTTGAGAAAAAAATGGAAGTAGCTTCTAGATGTAAACCATATAAAGAATGTACTGTTACACAATTGTTGATGATTTTAGTTAATAGTATATGCATGATCTTAGGCCCTTAAGCTTATACAGGTACGCAAGGAGTCGGTAAGATGCTTGCGGAAAGTGATTCCTAAGTTGTGTATAACAAATATACACTGGAATATAAGATAAGATGTCCGCGAAATTGTTGCCAAGTGATATTATATCGTCATATATAACAATAAATATTTAACTTGTTTGAAAACTTAATTGTATTTTGGTGATTATGACTACGGGAAAATGTAACATTTTAGAAATTTCTGTCATTTGTTAGATGACGCAGGGTCTTTCGAATTGATTTAGTTTCAGTTTTATTTCTTTTCCCGGCTTTTTCCAACGTTTTCCAACTTACCGTAGCGATTGAGAGTTTGTCAATTTAAAGCAGTGTATTAGCCTTCCAAACTTTGTAGTTAACACATTTAGAATTTTCTAAACACCAAATTTATTTGAATAATTAAAACAGAAATACTATTAAAGGGGTGTGCTTTAAAAAAACGTTGAAACTACTGTATGTGTAGAAATATTCGCGGGCTTCAAATTTTCGCAATCTTCGCGTTGACATTCGATCCGCGAATTCATGTTTAGCGCGAATATTTCTACACCAATAATTTCTTAATAGTCATATTTTCGCGCTTCTGTAGAACAATGTATATCAGTGTGTGATATGCTTTCACATTTTTTATTTAAATCTTTACTGAGTAATTGTGTTTTGTTTTCCAAGTTATTCATCATTTTAAATCGTTTATGTTTGTGTTTTTTAATTGTTTGTTCAGAAAAACTAAAACATGATCTGATCAGATGTCAAGACGTTTATGACGCAAACTGTGAAAAATTATGCACGTAACGGGCATTCTTTTGTTTGCTATAATCTGTCCGTTAGACAATGTCTTTTTTCTGTACATGTACAATAGAGTATTGTTTGACACCTGGTATTGAAAATAACTGTGAACTCCCACGATGATTACAGTAATTTTCCTTTTTTTAACCTGAGTGGTCTACGCGAATTTATGATTTTCGGCAGTCAACTCCGCGAATTCAAAATAGCGCGAATATTTGTATAGACCCCCAAAGTGGACCTTTCCGCGAAAATTTGCTACCGCGAATTTAAATACACATACAGTATATTATCTATATCTAAATTCCCAGGACAGACTGTAATTTATCAAAATTGTAAATATATATATTTCATGCTCATATCCAGCAAGAAGTATCCTAGAAAGAAACGGAAAACAGTTCGTACTATTCCTAATTTGACTCGACATTGGTTCATCGATCTGTTTTCAAAGTTGAGAGATGAATGCAAAAGATACATAGCTTATTATATTTGTTGCCGCTGAGAGTGTCATGTATTGGTCGGCCGCTTCATCTACATAGCTAACATTGGAACATCTCCTATATAAAACATGTTCCTTGCGACAAATACTCTCATTCCGAGATGTATTGGAAATAGTCAAGGAATGTTAAGTTAGACAGATGCATTGACTTCTCTTGTGCGGCAACTTGTTGATATTGGAGAAATGGAATTACAAAAATTGTTGCGAATTTATCTTGGATAGCATGGATCAAATGTACTAAATATCTAAAAGTATGCACTCTTTTATTGACAATATTTGTATTTTTTACGGTACGCGAATGAAGAGGTCTTAGAATTTCCATTTTTATTTGCAAATTTTCTTAATAATAATGCAGAATTTTGTAAATTAATGATTTTATTACAAAATGTTTGCTCTAAAAGTAATTGTATGTTCACTATTATTATTGGCATTGGATTTATGAATAAAGTACACTGATTCCGGTAAGTTATATTTAACAAGATTTTATAAAACATAGTAAACCAGACGTGAAAACAGAAATTTGAAAGCAGATTTAAAAAAGAGTAAAAAGGAATGAGTTATTAATTTATTGTTCCTTATAAACAAACATCTCTCTGTTGAATTTTTTTAACTATGATTTAAGAATTAACAAAATTCTGCGTTTATCCTTTGATGTTCTCTTAGCATGTTACGTACTTAAATTACAAACTCTTGTAAGTTTAAGGAATTACTATCATACAGCTAATGAGAACTTCTGTATCTATAATTTTCATGTAATGTCTTGTTAGGTAGCACACTTTATCAATATTTCTAAATACCAATTATATTTATTCGTCACAAGAAAAAAGTAAAATATGTATGCTTAAATTACAACATTGTTGAATATAATATTTTTGAATTTAAACAAAGGTGCAAAGAAGCCTGACGAAAACCTAAATTATTCAAACTTGCAATGTTTTCAAATGCTTCTCTATATAAATTTGTTCAATACATAGAATATTTCTGAATGTCAGTGTTTTTCCTAAGGTATTCACTAGCTCGGGTTTCAAATAGTGCATGGAAGGCACCCGATGTCTTCATCTTACAGTTAAGCTAGAAAGTCGCCATATCACCTTTACAGTGTTGTTTTTAAATGAAATAAATCAACAAACTGGAAATCATTATTCATGAAAATTAAATGTTATATGTCTAATCTGATCACTCTCAATTTGTTTAATTAAAATGAATTATTCATTAAACGATATTTATTTATTTATCAGTTAAACCATACATGCAAAACGTCTAATAGCTGAAATGCCTGCTACATTTCTTTTTATATACCTGGCAAGTATCAAGTGATATGTGGGTTTTTTCTACTGGAAGAAAGGATCGTTATATTGAATGTTATGAAAATTAAATCTCTATCAATACGTGTCACAAAAAAATTAATATAACTCCACAAATATGAAGAATTGAGTAACGTTAATAAGAACAGAATATATCTTAAAATCATCAAAAATTAATAAAATTGTGAGTAAACGCTTAATATTATTTGAATCACAAAACAGCTGAACGTTTATATCTAAAAAAAGATTTATCGATTATTTCAGAAATTGCCTACTGAAATCTTGCCAGAAATGAGATGAAAAATTAATTGTTCAAAATGGTACAACTTTACTACTACGAGACCAGAGGCAAATGTTGCCGAAAATTTTTCAATCACGAAGGAGTCCCTACCAAAATACACTTATTTCCCTATGAAGGTAATTCGTAAAGCTCGTAAAATTACTATATAAAATCAAAAGAATTGATATTCCAAACTACAGCATGTTAAGACATTTGTTTATTCCTTTTCAAAAAAACTTATATTTCTGTACATTTTACAAGTTACATATTTATATCAATTTATATTAACTGATATCTATTTTTGTATAGTAGCAAAAATCATACAGCACAATAAACGGGATTTATTATAATTTTGCGAAGAAAAGCTCATAATGAAATACACTTAAATATAATTATATCTATAAATGTACGTGTGTAACTACATAAGACATAATAGCCTTTTCTAATTAGCCATTGTCAATAAGTCCACTAAATATCCTTGTAAATAAGATAAGGAATTGTTTAACTAGCAAAATTAAAAATCAGCGCGTTTCATAAAACGTACGTGCAAAGAATGAAATACCATATCATTCAATATTAAGAATGAATAAACCCATTTTCAAAAAGTGTTGATTGAGTAATTCAGTATTTTCTTAACCTTGTTGTACAGCGCTAAAACCAAGTTGGAACCCTTACACAAACTATAGTGATGAATATGAATCTGTTTTCTTCTTCTACATTCAGGTTGGGCTCAACCAGCTTTATCATCTTATTGGATGTTGAAAACCTATTGGTGGAGCAGAACACGTGTTAAAATTACAGAAGTCACCGGTTCCCAAAGACATGAAGTCAAAGGGAAAGTCCATTACATCAGAAATGGATCTGTTGTCATTTCTGGCAAAATCAAAGATAGTAAAAACGAGGATTTTAGGATGAATTTAACATCGAATGTCAGTAATGCAGATTTTCAACTGGGATATTGCATCACAGGAACTCTAGAAAGGGGAGACAAAAAGTGTGAGAAGGGATTGACTTTAACACATTACGCTATGATTAAAAGGAGAGGCTACTAAACTGTTAATTATAGTAATGTCAGTTAATTGTGCCATAGACAAATTATTTTGTTAAACAAGTTAGATATTTAAATTTTTAAAAATTGTACTGCATTTTTATTGGTAGTTTCAATATTTTGTTAATTTGTTAAATGCTAGCTTACAGTCCGTTTTGTTTTGTTTGAATTTGTTTATTATTTTGTTATAAATGTTTTGAGAAGTTTGTTAAAGAAAAACTGTCAAAGGTTTTGATTATTGTTAATCGTTAATCAAAATTTTAATTTACTATATAATTGACAAGTGTTACAAGTATTTAAAATGTTAAAGTCTTATTGAAATGTTTTATACACCGAAATGTGCTGTTTGTGAGAGAAAGCGTATAAGTCATAACATGCTAACTATTACTGCTTTGAGTATTATTAAAAATTATTCTTTCAAAAATAAATATAGTTAAAGTAGATATCGTTATTATTTTCTTTTAGACATGAAGCTTCTAAAGTATTGAATATTAGTAAAAGACAGGCGTAGACCATCGACAAAATCAGCTTTGGAAACGCTTGATAATATGTGAAAAAGTAATGAAAATATAAAAACTCTGATATAAATAATCGTGACTAACTATTCATAATCATTGTGTGACATTAAGAGATATCTGGTCATTTTTCGAATCCATCCAATAGAAAGTGGTTTTATTCTTCGGTATTCTCATCTTTGTAAAGTTGAATATTATGATATGGTAATGATTCAAACGACAACAACAACAGCAACAACATCAGAAGCCAAATCTTTCTTATTAGTATTTGATTTAAAGTAAAAGTTTGATTTAACTGAAGGTTAATGTTGAAATAATTCAATTCGTGTCAGTTCCAAAGTTAGATTACTTTCTTTAAGGAGTTTTCACGTAAATAGTATTAAGTTACCAATAACAAAATCGATCTTACTGGTAAACAACTCGAATTGTTACAAATTTTCTAATTGTTAAATACGGTTTATTCATGATTCAGTAAGAATGAAAATATTACTAACTAAATGTTATGTTACTAGCTGTGCACTATTCAATTATTTTGTAATATCACATGCTACATGGGAACCAATACGTTTTTGGAACTTTCATTTACATAGCCAAAACTTCAATATGAATATGTGTTCTTACTTAATAGAACTAACGTTTAGGCGGTTACAAAATAATTAAGAAAATATATCTAATAAAAATATAATGAGAATTCAAATGTTGTTTAAAAATATAATCTACCACTATGTATCACAATATTTCGTAATCATACTACCTTTGTGATAAATCATTTGGCGTAAGTAAAGTTTTATAATAAATAATTATGCTGTGCACAAGATCTTAATAATATATAGCATGTTTCCTCGCTAGATTGAATACAAATTCCGCGACTTTTAACCGAAAGTATTTCCGTTGTTCGTTTGACTTGAGCAATATCACATTGTTTCTGACGACTTAAACACGTAAACAGAATTCAAAAGTATTTTTTTTTAACACACTTCAAATGGTTTAGCTCAGCTCTGAAAACTTATCTGAATAAATTTAAATGAGCTAAATAATAATTTTGGACTTATGCCGAAATAGCTTTTTATAACGATTGAGATTATACATGTAGAAACAAAATTATTTAACCTTAAAAATATATTATAGCATATTTCTTTAAATATAGATTTATAAAAGTACTTTTTAGGGCTGATATACATTTTCATAATTTCTGTATATGTGCCACTTGCAGTCTGCCTGCTATATAAATGTCATTCGACCTGACAGTTTCCTATTAGTTCGTAAACAATAAAGAAGAAACATCAATAGCTAATGGTGATAAAATCATTCACTTATTGTTTTAGTCCACGATCAATGTGTTTAGTGTGGCGTGATCCGTAATTACAGTATTATTGATCGCTGACTGTATTTTAAAGGATTGTTTTCAGTGTTCCCCGATGTATTAAATTAAAACCACACAGTAATGCGCGTCACTCCGTATCATTTCGCAGAAGTGTATAAAATTTTGCCTCAGAAGCGCATTCACTACACTGTTATCGTTAAATGTGACTTTGCAGCAATTAGAAAATAAGACTTTATTACAATGATTTTGTCGTCCGATATCAAATATACGCAAACGGTCTTAAATCAAAAGAATAAACATTATATAGAATCCCGAAAATGGAACAGCCATCGGAAGCAATAAAAAAGTCATCATTTTCATTTCTTAAGATACAACCATATCATTTATTGATTCAAAGGAAAACAATCCGTAATGTCAGATGGCAACAATACCTTTCTGCCCGCTGACATTGCCTAACGGGCCTCTCGCGCGCATCGGATACCGGAGGTTTGGTAATAAGTTATAATGTTTAAAAACTATATTTTAGTAATTGATTTGTCTGGCATAAAAAGTAAAAATGACATCCAACTGCGGGTGATATAACAAAATGATCACAATTGGTCAAGATAATATCCAATCCAGATAACGTCTTGGTTGACATCACTTGTCTTGGGTAATCATCTCGTTCCATCAACCTCAATGGGATGTGATATTTATATAATATTGAATAATTGTTGTTTGTCATGGGTCATCTTTGCAGACGCATAAATTGCTTAAGATAATTTTCTGTTGATAACTTCTAGGATTGATGGTTTCCTTCAGTTACATGTACATAGCTATGTGAGCTTTTGTCTTGAAGAAATGCGAGAATAGAAAATAAAGAAATAATTGCACGTTATATTTTGAAAACCGAAATATATAAACACTATATTACAGTTCCAAAGTGTTCATATTTGATGATAGTAAATACTGTTACATGAAATCAATGCAATGTTTTTTTCAATGTATTAAAGCAAAAATAAATTATTTAAGGAGGATAAGCGAGATACAAGAATGTCGATTTCAACCGTGATATTAAAAGCAAGTATTGTGGGGATTGCATTCATTGAACGCCGCCTTTTCTTGTGGATCTTGTTTATCATATTTTAAGCAAAACACACACTATTTTGCTAAAACGTTCGTATAACAAATTAAGAATATGCAATGATGATACTAAATATACAAATCATATTTTTTGGGGGAAAATAAAAACAATAAAAATCCTAAACATAGTTTCAAAGGAACAGCAAATTAATTGATCAATCATACTTTAGCTTTATATACTAATGTAATAGATGCCGCTCCTTGACGCACATCTTATTTAAATGGTTCTTGTTTCAGTCCGATAAAAAAGAAAGATCAAAAGGTAATGTTTATTTAAACATTTATTGAAAGTTTTAGTGCCTGATCAATGTACCAAATGTTGCATGAAAATATATCGACTATGACTGCGTGCTTTAAGCCTTTATAACATTTTATTACATATTTTGACTTGCATGATATTCCAGAATTATTTTATGTTATATCGTTCGTATGTATTTAAATATTCTGTTGGTTATACTTTATTTTACTTATTGCCTCATGTCCAGTGCTATAAATAATGTACTGAGAGAATATTGCTGCTGTACACGAAATGTCTACAGACATCTTAATTAAAGGTCATCCGTAAAGATACATTTATCACTTGAAATAGTTATTTACTTTCACTGACCATGGCTCTTTAGTAAAAGTAAATGCTAAAAGCACAATTCAATTTGATTAAATGCTAAATATGTACAATTTCAAGATGTGTTTTCTCTAATATCTGAATAGTCTAGAAACATATTAGTCAATGATAAATATGTCAACTAATACAAAACCTTGAGGAGCAGTAGAGATGAATGTTTTCTTAAAACACATTAAAAATTTAAAATTGTTTATAACTCTGTGCAAAATTGTATTGTTGTACTGAAAATAAAGACATTCTAAATTTTACAAGTTCATGTTAAATGCTGAATTCTGCTTAAGCAGGCGCTCAGGACGTAAACGGTAGCTCGCAATTATCACTACCGTCCATAAACATGACTCGATCAACCTGAGCTTGCAACATTTTCATTTTTTTATGCCGTTTTGGACTTTTATAGGGATCCTTGTTTATTCTATCTTCATGTATAACGTGTATGCAATAGTTTCAATACAGTTTTATACGGTTATATCTCATTTAATCATTTATGCCTTTAAATATGTAGTTCATTATATGAAAAAAATAGGTCAACAAGGTAAAGGCGGCGTTCAATGATTGCAACTTTAGATTACAAAAGATTTTTTTCAAAAAAATGTTTAATGAATTTAATATTTAGAACAACTTTCATATAACATTCTACCTAATTTTGACAAGAAACAAACTAAATGAGACAAACAATGCAAAATCATTCACAAAATGACATTATTACCTGTCCTGACACCATCTTAAAGTCTTTAATTTATACTTTTTTCCTTATTTTGTTCAATGTTTTTGATGGAGAAATATGAAAAAAGAGTGTGATATACTAACAATCAGCTAATAGGTACGTTTCTGTATCACTGACAACATGGACTGCACCTATGTCTTTTTCAATTATTAAACATTCCAATTCGCATAAGCATGTTATAACAGTATTGCAACAACTGATATCCCTACAATGGAAATATGCTGGTAATTACTGTGTACAATTTGGGCATAATACTCGACATACCATTTGCCACAATATGTGAATAAACAGACAGGTAACGGATTGCAAGAAACATATTTTTACCATTGAATCATTAACAAATTTCACTAGTACAAATACCATGCATAATGTTGCAGCTTCAAGCGAAATTTTCGCCGCAAATTGAAACAGATAAGCACATTTTCATTAATTTTTTACTTAAATGTGACGTTGGAAAAATCAGACTAATGATATCTTTAAATTGAACTTGTTCAGATATGTTCGGCGGCCTTTTTAGCCAGAGGAATTAACTGGTACATTTGTTGTGTAACCTTGGTGATAAATGTAATCCCTAAAGAACGCCAAAAAAAACAACAACGACAAACTGAAAATGTTACAGGCTCGGTTGATTGAAACAAAAATATTAATCGGGTGATGTTAAACGAAAGTTGCCATTTTCAAAGAAAGTTAAAGTAGATCAACGGATCATGTTGCAATTTTCATTGCAAAGGATTGTCTAGCATTCCTAATATACAAACATAAGAAATGGAGACGCAGATGTGTCAAAACATAATAGAATTCATAGAAACATATAAATATATTTATATTTCTAGATTTAAAGAGACACTTACCACTCAGGCAGACGCTATTTCTATGTTAGATAGTATGGAAAGAATCTCATTTTCAATTGCGTCACCAATCAATCCGTTTCCAAATATATTTAGTTACTTGTTTTCTTAAAAAGACATGCTATCTTCATACAGTTCGTATGACAATGAAAATGTACACTAAGGGATTTCGTTTTTCTCTATTTTTGTGTTATAGCTAATGTTATTTTTTACATTTATTGATGTCTGGTGAAAATACCTGCTTTTCTATGTTTGCATACTTTAACTATATTAAATTAAAACTATATA